CCAGAGCCAGAGGGATGGTGGTAGTCACGGGGCGGGAGCCAGACAGCCGTCGCCCGGACGGTGCCATGTCCAGCTCCGACGCCGAGGACGACTTTCTGGAGCCCGCCACCCCGACGGCCACGCAGGCGGGGCACGCGCTGTCCCTGCTACCCCAGGAGGTACCTGCACGGAGGGGGCTGGGGGAGGAGCGCAGGGGGATGGATCCGCAGGTGCTGGGCAGAGCTGACCTTGGGGTGTCAGCCCGCTAGGTTCGGGGATCCAGGGTCGGGCTGAGGGCGGCTCCAGAGGGGCTGCCCCCTCCCCCGCCTGTAAAATGCACCAGGTGTGTCTTCCCTGCCACAGAGGTCACCTGGCCCCGAACCCCTCCTTCCAGTATTCACTGCCAGGAAGGTTGCTTTAGTCCGTGCAAAGGGGACCTGGGAGCCCCACGAGATGATCGTGCCTCCTAGAAAATCCAAGAGGCCTTGGTGGTCACCCAAACCCCGCGTCCAGCTGCCCTGACAGTGGAGTAAGGCACTGTGTGCAGGTAGAAAGCAGGCCAATGGTTGATGTGTCCACCCTCATCCGACAGCTCCCTGGCTTTCCCTCACCAGCTGCCGTGCTGTGGTGCACAGTGGCTTCCCCTGGCCTTCGTGTGAATGACAGTATCATAGTAACACCTGGAATGACCCGTAGGAAGAGGGAAAAGAGTAGGAGAGGTTGGCACTGCAGGGCCCTGAAGAGAGAGACTAGAAAGGAGGAGGAGCTAAGGGAGTGTCAGATATGGGAGAATGTGATGTGTGGAAACCGGAGAATGGGCAGCGCCCCAGAGGGGCTGGGCAGGGCTAGGTGAGGCTTTGGGGAACCAGACAGTGTTATTTGGGGGCTACAAGTCCATAGCGTTAACATCAGGGGGCCCTTGTGAAAATGAGCAAAACTCTAGAAGTCCTCTTTGCAGTTGGGAAAAAGGAGCCATTAGAGCAGCGGTTCTTAACCTGTGGGTCGCGACCCCTTTGGGGGTCGAACGACCCTTTCACAGGGGTCGCCTAAGACCATCGGAAAACACATATACAATTACATATTGTTTACAGTAGCAAAATTACAGTTATGAAGTAGCAACGAAAATAATTTTATGGTTGGGGGTCACCACAACATGAGGAACTGTATTAAAGGGTCGAGGCATTAGGAAGGTTGAGAACCACTGCATTAGAGACACGGTGGTACTGTTTTTGTGTGCATTGTCATTGGGGGGACCATGTGGTTTGGAGGAAAGAGTACAGGACTCAGAGACTGGAGGCCAAGACTCCAGGGCCAGCGCCCCCACAGAGTACATGGCTCCATGTGAGATCTGAAACTGTTTTTTGGTTGCTTTCTCCTCTCTGCCTCAGTCTTTTCCTCTCTAATATGGAGCAAACACTTGGATGGTATGAGATATCTTTGGTATGCACATGGATTATTTGAGTCCTTGCTATGCACCTAGAACAGCTTTAGAGGAGCTATAGAATAAGCAGAAGGCATTTCCTGTCCTTGGGGTGCAGAAGAGTAACAGTGCATATATACATGGAATTGTCAATACTATTTCATTCACCCGTTCAGGGCATATTTGGGTGTTTACTGTGAGACAGGCACTGCACAAGGCCCTGGGTAACTTTTATTTAATGTATATTTACCCTGCTTAACTCACAAAGAATTTGAAAGCTGGGGAAAAGGACTTACTAAATAAATATACATAGACTTTCACTGGAGCCTGAGAGATGTCGTAATATTGAAAAGTATGCACTGGGACAAAATGTTAGTTAATCTGGAAGAGGAGAGTTGGAAAATTAGAGAGAACTGCCCTTGTTTCTTTCAACATCACCAGGAGTGAAAGATATCAAAAAAGAAAAAGAACAGAAAACATCCCAAGCATTTTAGGGAGAACCTAGAGCAGTGATGGCGAACCTTTTGAGCTCGGCGTGTCAGCATTTTGAAAAACCCTAACTTAACTCTGGTGCCGTGTCACATATAGAAATTTTTTGATCTTTGCAACCATAGTAAAACAAAGACTTATATTTTTGATATTTATTTTATATATTTAAATGCCATTTAACAAAGAAAAATCAACCAAAGAAAAATGAGTTTGCGTGTCACCTCTGACACGCGTGTCATAGGTTCGCCATCACTGACCTAGAGCTTCTCAGGACAACGCTATTCCATCATTCCCTGTTCTTCACCCTGTCCTTGCCTCCAAAACCTTAGCTGGACTGGGACTCATCTCACACTACAGATGAAGAAGGAATTATTCGACAGACATCCACAAGCCCTGCTGTGGGTGGCCTCACGATCGGTGAACAAGATGCTGTCCCTGCCTCAGGAAGCGTGGGGTCTAGAAGAGGGGGCTGCCAGAATAAAATAAATCACCAATGTATTGTGCTAGGCACTGTAATGGAGAAGAATGCAGCATACAGCGAAGGCAACAATGGAAGGAGTGTTTGGTTAACTCTGTCTTGTGAGCTGGCAAGGGACAATAGAGCAGAAATGCTCACCAAGTAGAACTTGAATAGAAGCTCTTAGAATGAGTGGCTGCTGCTAACCTATATGGTGCCTGGGTGTGAATTGGAAAAAGAACACACATCTGGGCTAGCAGATTACTCTCATCCAGGCACCTACAGTGAACAGTGTACACCACCACGTGGGGCAATCGCAGTTGCTAGATGGGCAAAGGGATAGCGGTAAGAGCATTTTGGACAGAGAAGACAGCATGAGCAAGGGTACAAAAATGGTAAATTCGGGAAGTGAATGGAGGACAATGAAGGCTTTGAACTCTAGAGCAGAAATAACAGGATTGGGGTGGAGGGACCTGATTTAGGAGTTGTCAGGAGGATGGATAGGGCTTGGCCACTGGTGAGTGTGGGGAAAGGGAGGAGAGAGGAGTGTTTCAGGAAGACTCCTGGGTTTTGGTTTGGGGTGACTGAGTGAATGGTGAGGCTTTGATCAGACCCAAGAAGACTGCAGACAGAGCAGCCCGGCTGTCCTTTTTCTCGCCTGGCTGAACATGCAGCTGTTTTGTGTGGGTTTTTGTTTTTTTTTTTTCAGTTTCCTGAGGTTGTTCCCCTTAACATTGGAGGGGCTCACTTCACCACACGCCTGTCCACCCTGCGGCGCTACGAAGACACCATGCTGGCAGCCATGTTCAGTGGGCGGCATTACATCCCCACCGATGCGGAGGGCCGGTACTTCATTGACCGGGACGGCACGCACTTTGGGTATGTTTCTCCCTCGACGATCATCTTTGTAGTCCTAGCAAATGAGGGACCTGGGTGGGTATGGGGCTTTACTATCTTCCATAGAACCTAGAAGAGGAGAGAACATACTGACAGAATTTAATAAATGTGTCTATTAAAATGGATCAAAATTTTTAGTTTCTTTTCCAGAGGAGACAAGGACAGCTGAAGAAATCTCAGGTAACACACACTGGCTGGTTGTGATGCACCTGCTTCTATCCTACGTCATTTAAGACGGTGGAGTTGTCATCTTGTGGAAAGGAAGAGGTGTGATCCCACCTAGAGATGGGGAGCTCCAAAACAGCTTTTTGGAGAATACCCTCAGATCAGATTCCAGGGGGTCAGCGTTGCCCTTAGGGAGGAAGCAGGTTGTGTGACAGTAGTTCCTTGACTTCCTTCAATAGATTTTTAAAAAAATATGTTTTTATTGATTTTTTAGAGAGAGAAGAAGGGAGAAGGATAGAGAGATAGAAACATCGATGAGAGAGAAACATCATCCATCGGCTGCCTCCGGCAGGCTTCCCACAGGGGATCACAGCCCAGGCATGTGCCCTGACCAGGAATCGAACTGGTGACCTCTTGCCTCCTGGGTCAATGCTCAACTGCTGAGCTATACCAGCTGGACGTAGAAGTTTAAAACAAATAAACAGGAAAGGTGTGGGAAGGGCCAACAAAGGGTTGCCATCCTTCAATGTTGCCCAGAAAAGTTTCAAAAAAAACAAAAGAACCTTCCATTATTACTGTCATTTTAACACTAAAACATGGAAACACAGACTCTCAAAAAATAGTCTTTCCCAAAAAAGGACTTCTGAAAACCTTACACGTAAACCATTTAAAGACTTTTTTTCAGTTTCCTTGTTGGTGAAATGAAAAACAGTTATAGCGGCCCCGCAGGCCTGTCGTGTGGATTAAATAGAGAGCCTTGGTGTGACCCCTGGCCTGGTCCATTCAGAGTATATGGCTGAAGCTCTTTCCCCTTCAGTCTAACTTTGGAGATGACTGAAGAACGAGCGTGGTCCCTGACCTTGGACAAAACGACCAGGGAGGCAGAAACTCTCAATCACTGCACCTGTGATGGCCTCCAAGTAGCATTTCCCACATGGCGAGAAGGTCATTTTCCTCCTCAGAAAGGAGACTCTGGTCAGATAACTTGCTCTGAAGCATATGGGTTTCTCCATCGGGTTGTTCGCAGCCTCCAATGCTGAGAAAACAAAGTGTCACATTGCTGGGCAGAGCTATAAAAAGGTTTTTGTTTGCAGGCTGTTTGGGGGAGGAAAGTGCTGGCCCCAGCTGGCAGCTCCCACAACACTCGTGGCTGGGCCTTGCCCTAGGGATATGTTTTTCAGAGCTTACCAAGGTTTGCTTAAGATCCTGGAGGACCAGTTTTAGGAGGGGTTGTGGGGAGGGGAATAGGATTTGGCTTTAGCTGGAGAATGACAGAGCAGGCAAGGGTGTTGGGCAGAAAAGTAGGATATTGTGGCATTTATCCTCAGACCGCTAGGCTCCAGTGGCCTATGATTCATCAGCAGCAGATGAAGTTGTTGAAAGACTCAGATGAAGCGTCCTGGCCGGGTAGCTCAATTGGTTAGAGCATCTTCCCGATACACCAAGGTTGCCGGTTTGATCCCCGGTCAGGGCACATATAAGAAGCAACCAATGAATGCATAAATAAGTGAAACATCAAATTGATGTTTCTCTCTCTCTCTGTAAAATCAATTAAAAAAAAAGACTCAGATAAAGTAAAATAGGAATTTAGGGCATTTGCTGGGGTAAATTTCTCTGCTGGTGTAGCTCACACACCCCTAGCACCTGCCGCGGAGGCTGCTTGGGCCTCCACTTGGGACAGTTTCCCATTGTGATCAATGAAGAGCGCTTTGGATTACAGTCTGGACCACTGTGGGTGTGGACTTGGAGTCAGCCATTTCTGCATCTGAGCCTCTGGCTAATTGTGGCCCCTTGAGCAAGGTTGTTCCTTAACGTCTTTGAACCCCCACTTTTTTCATTTATAAAATGGACATAAGATGGCACTTATCCCATAATAATATTGTTGAAAGGATTCAGTGGGATAACACATAATAGTAGCTGACACGGATTAATACTTGAGTGTTAGCTGGTGTTGCATTATAGTCATAGACTAACTAGAGGGGTGACAGCTTAATCATGGAATTTACTCACATATCTTTACAGAAAAGCCCTTGCCACACCTTTCAGTGATGGATCGGATTACTCTTAGCACTAAACAATTTGAAAAGAGCCCTAGCTGATTTGGCTCAGTGGATAGAACATTGGCCTTCGGACTAAAGGGTCCTGGGTTTGGTTCCGGTCAAGGGCACATTCCCGGGTTGTGGACTCGATCCCCAGTAGGGGGCCCTGCAAGAGGCAGCCGATCAATGATTCTCTCTCATCATTGATGTTTCTCTCTCTCTCTCCCTCTCCCTTCCTCTCTGA